GGGATGTGCCCCACCCCGTGCTCCTGCCCTCTCGCTGCTTCCCTCTCTGGCCACCGGCTCATCTCCTCCTCTCTCCCCTGCCGCCGCCTCTCACACTCAGTGGGAGATGGATGACACGGCTGAATATGTAAGTAGTGCCCCGGCCGCTGGCGTGCTCTTTCCGCGGGCCGTGCCTGCCCTTCTGTGACACCCGCCCCTGCACGCCTCTTGTCAAAGGGTCTCCTCCCCTGGGTCCCGGATGCACACCCCATTACCTCTTGGAGCTAGCAGTCTCAGTTTTCACATGAGGCAAATGGGCACAGCGGCCCCAGGCGGCACCTGCTGGGGGACCCAGAGGTCACCCATTATCCTCCTTACCTGGATGGCCCCTAGATGCCCAGTTTTCTCTCACACACACACACGCACACACGCACTCACGCACACGCGCGGTTTCACCATCATAGCTTTACTCAAGCTGTTCCTGAGGCCTGGAATGCCTTTCCTACAGCACCGACCCACTCCTCCATCCCTCTGCCTCCCCTGTCGGACCCAGACCAGAACTGGGTCACTTTCCAACGCAGCCTGACCCTTTGTCACCTGCCTCAGCCCTCCCTCACCTAGAAATTTCTTTCTCTCTTCAAAGCATCCACTTCATTCTGGCCCTTGAACGATGGAGGGGTCAGTGGGCCCAGGGTGGGAAAGGAGTCCTGTAGCCCCACCACCATCTTCATCGTTCCAAGCTTTCTCTAGAGACCCTGAACCAGAGTTGGGCAGGTCACTGCCTCTCTGGGCTGTCGTTCTGCCTTTCATAAGAAGCCACAGGCTCTTATGACAGCCCCAGGTCTGATGCCAAATTGACACTGGCCCTACCTCCTCCCATAGGGAAGTTTTAGCCCCTCCCACCTACCAGGACCCTGAGAGGGACTAAATGTGAGGCTCAGGGGAAGGAGACCCTCTGTTCATGCATCCCTGTCCCCCCTCCTCATGCTCTTGACCTGGGGACACCCCACAGCTCCCAGGCATGCTGAACTTTGTTTGTGGTGTGCATGTGTGGGAACATGGGCACATGTAATGGTGTTCGTGGGGGGGGTGCAAGTCAGGGTGCTCTGGCATTCATTGAACAAGCAGTCATTTACTGAGCACCTAGTGTAGGCTAGATCCTCTGTAAGGTGCTGCGGAAATGACAGTGACCAACACAGAGCTCAGAGCCTGCCCTCCCTGTGATCACAGTCCAGTGTGGGAGAAGGACGTTAATGGGAAAGAAACACAAATATATGTCTAGTTACAGCTCTGGTAGAGGGAGGCAGGGTTTAGACAGTGATATAAAAGTCAGTTCTCCAGATGGGTGGATGGGGCAGCCCTGATCTGTAGCATTTGCATGGTGTAAATACTTCCATTGTGTCAGTTTTCAGCTAGATGTGCAGTAGCTCATTGCTGTATAGTTTTCTACCACAAGGTACAAGAGACAGAATAACCTTGACAGCCTAGGTAGTGGTAAATGTAGTAGAATGATTAGGAGGGGGGTACTGAGTACTTAATACCTTTGTTTTTTTTAAAAAATTATTTTTGTTTAATTCTAAGTTTATATAATTTACTTCTAAATAATGGCTGTGTTTAATAACTGGCTCACAAAATTCCTGAAAATTTAAGTATTCGCTCTCATGAGCTGGTATAGGAAATTCCAGCACACCAATGGGCGTAGTGGAGGTAGCGGGAATAGCCTGTGCAAAGGTCCTGGGGAAGGACCATGCCTGGCCTGCTGGAGGAACAGTAAGGAGGTCCTTTTAGCTGAAGCAGAGTGGGTGAGGGGAGCAGAAAGAGGAGGTGAGAGCAGGGAGGAGACCTGGCAGGTATTGCAGGGCCTTGTAGGGCACAAGGAAGACTTGGGCTTTTACCTGAAGGGAGGTGGGAACCCTAGAGGGCTGTGGGCAGAGGAGGGGTGGGACCTGACTCAGATCCTCACAGGCACCCTCTGGTGGCTGCTGCAAGGAGGACAGACTCTGGGGATGGGGGGGTGGGAGCCATATCACTAGTGCAGAGGCAACTACCTTATTCCAGTCAGGCTGCGCGTGGCCATCTTAGCATGGACCTGCTACCTGTCATGGTCTCTGCATGAGGTCGGGTGCATGTCTCTGCCTGAGGACCAGGGCCCACATCTACCTTGTTTGAGCCCAGCCTTGGAAGGAGGGTGGACAGGGCTGGTCTCCGCCCTGGTTGCATCGCTGACCCCATCCCTGCCTGCAGGAGATGGTCATCACAAACCTGCAGCCTGAGACCACCTACTCCATCACTGTAGCCGCCTACACTATGAAAGGCGATGGCGCTCGCAGCAAACCCAAGGTGGTAGTGACCAAGGGAGCAGGTATGAGACCTCCTCCCCCCAACTGCTCCTTTGCCCCCAGTCTCCCTGCAGAATTCTTGAGCCCGTGTGGGGAGAGAGTGTACTGGACAGGAGGAACAGCCAGAGCTGTGGGGTGGGGTCTGCTCAAGGGGGCATTTGGGGCCCAGCAAGGTCCAGCCCCCTCATCTTCCTTAGCCACTTGGCCCCAGCCTGATACCAACAGTTAACAGCCAACTCTAACCCCCTTGTCCTCCTGGATTTACCTGGCTGCTCCCTCTGCCTGGACTTCCTTCTCTGGGCTGGCTGTCCCCTCCCCATCCTTTAGGTCTTTGCATCATTCCTACCTCATTAGGGAAGCCTTCCCCACCCCACTCCTATCCTGCAGTCTTTGTTCGATGCCCCTGGGCCCCCCCCAGCACCCTGTCATTCCCCCATCATGGCTCTGATCACCCCAGGTGGGTTGTCATTTGGGGGTGGTGTGCCCTTCTCTCCAGCTGCACCATGATGCCTCCTCTTCTGGCAGCCCTGCCTCAGTTTCCCCTTCTGGCTCCTCTCCCATCAGTCCCAAGGTTCTATTTTTGCCCCAGCCACAGATGAGCTGAATGAGGAGGAAGAGACAGCTGTGAAAATGTAAAGGGAAGATGTTCCAAGCAGAGGGCACAGCCTAGGCAAAGGCTTGGAGAGGCGAACAAGCTTAGTGTGTTCAAGAAACTGTGGAAAGGCCTCTGTCCCACTTCCCATACCCATTCCTCTCTCTGGGACCCTCAGTGCCACACCTCTGACCACATAGCCTAACATCCAGGCTGGACACAGCCCCTCTCTACATTGCTGCCAGCCCTGCCAATGCTGTTCCTGAGCCTGGCTAGTCTGTATATCTATCCTCCAGTGTCCAGTGCCCATGCACCTCCTCCAAGGAGCCTCACATGGTCTCCCCCTCCTCTCTCAGGGACATTGCATTAGAGCCATGCTTGCTAAGCTGAATCCACTGCATATACTGTGACTGCTCATAGCACAGCCCATTAAAGGTCCTGATAAGTCCTGCAGTGGAGAAGCTTGGTTTCCTTTGTAGAGCCCAGCTTTCCCCCTTCTTTACCTGACCCCAAAACCTTTTTTGGCACATTCATTACTACTCAGACTGCGAAGATCATGGGGCATGGGCAGGATTTTGATACTCCTGTGTCCCATGGATATTAATCAGGTGCCAGCGAGGGACAAATAAACAAAGCAAGAAATGTATGACTTAACTGACTAAAGGAGGAGATACTTAGGTGAGGCCTACTGTAACATCTGTGAATGTTTTCTTTTATTGGGTTCTGTGAGTCCCTGGCCTCCTTGCTGTTCCTTACACTCATACAGCACAGTCCTACCTCATGGCCTTTGCACTGGTTGTTCCCTCTGGCTGGAACACTGTTCCTCCTAGACCTCCCTGTAGCTCCCTCCCTCGCCTCCTTCAAGTCTTTGTTTCTCAGTGAGGCCTCTCTGAGACCCACTTTTAAAAACTGTAACTCTACCCTGTGCTCCCAGACTGCCAGGTGGTCACTGATGCTGGCCTTGTGTCCCCGCAGTGCTGGGCCGCCCCATCCTGTCGGTGCAGCAGACCCCTGAGGGCAGCCTGCTGGCACGCTGGGAGCCCCCAGTCGGCACCGCCAAGGACCAGGTACTGGGCTACCGCCTGCAGTTCGGCCGAGAGGACTCTTCACCCCTGGCCACACTGGAGTTCCTGCCCACTGAAGACCACTACACAGCATCGGGCGTGCACAAAGGGGCCACGTATGTGTTCCGGCTGGCAGCTCGGAGCCGAGGTGGCCTGGGTGAGGAGGCAGCAGAGGTCCTGAGCATCCCGGAGGACACACCCCGCGGCCACCCACAGATCCTCGAGGCAGCTGGCAATGCTTCGGCTGGCACTGTCCTGCTGCGCTGGCTGCCACCCGTGCCTGCTGAGCGCAATGGGGCCATTGTCAAGTACACAGTGGCAGTCCGGGAGGCCGGTGCCCTGGGCCCCGCCCGAGAGACTGAGCTGCCGGCAGCAGCCGAGCCAGGCGCTGAGAACGTGCTCACACTGCAGGGCCTCAAGCCCGATACGGCCTATGACCTCCAAGTGCGGGCCCACACGCGCCGGGGCCCCGGTCCATACAGCCCCCCTGTCCGCTACCGGACATTCCTGCGGGACCAAGGTAGGCGCGAGGCGACCCCCACACCAGAGCCGGACCGGGCCTTGTGCCCACCCCCAC